TCAATCGTTATCTATCCGCCATATCCTCGTAATCTTTACGTGCTACTCCTCCCTCTTGCATTCATACCACTCATCTTATACACTAACACTCTACCTTGAGTGTTTTTGGGGCATTAAGAACTCGAGCCTTGTTCTTAAACAGCTTCGTCAGATCAAGACATTTATATGGATGTCAGGTATGGCGACCTGCCCATTCAGAAATGTCGAAGCTCTCAAGTATATACAACCGGTTTCATAGATTAATGATTAAAAAAGTGACTTCGAGGGAGTGAAGTATGTAGGTCTTAGAGAGTACCATTTCTTATCGAAACAGTTGATAGGTCCGGTCCAAAATGTATTATCTTTCCGGTTTGGATATTTTTGAACGGGTAGAGTTTCCGGTTCCTTCTAACGTCTTCTCAGTCTCTTTCACTCCCAGTAGACATTTGCGTCTTAGTGACATTATCGTCTAGCTTGGAGTGAATTGATTTAAAAAAAACCCAAAAAACCTTGTGGACTTGTGCCACAGGATCACAAAGAACTGTACCAAATGATTGAAACCACATCAATTCAGAACTTTCAACAAAAATTAAAATAGGTATCACATGTAACTTGAAGAGAAAATAAAGACATAATCAAGACGTTGACATTCCACATGATTCCAAGCAAAAGGTTAGGAAGGAAATATCCATCAATACAGTAAAGAACGATTACCGTTTGTGGGCTTGAGAAACCTATTTTCCTGAAAAATGGTTTTAGAATTTATAGATTTCAACCTATAGTAACACTGGCTGTTCGCTTAATGAATACCTGTTGCCTTATAAGGAAACGGCTAGTACAATAATTCCCACTGAACTTCAGTACAATAAATAATTTTGTGGGGGAGTAGGGAGATAATGTTTTCGTTGACAATTTTATGTTTGTTGATAATTTTATTTATAAATGTCGGCCGACTGCTTTCATTGAATAATCATTCATGTCACAAGCTTGAATCTATCTGAATGTATATGCTATTAAATCACCGACGAGGAATACAACCGCAATCCACACACACACACACACACACACACACACACACACACACACACACACACACACACACACACACACACACACACAAATTGCTTGACCCAATGAACTGGTTTCGTGTTGTAGAACTTGTTGAACTACTTTTAAAATATTAAAGTCTTCAGGCCTTAATGACACATTTTGTAAATTTGAAATGAATCATGCACATTCCAAGAATATATTCCAAGGCTATATTTTTTATTATAGTTAAAACAACGTTTCCGTTGCTCCATGTTCGGCCTTCCTCATTTGTAAAACTTGTATGGATTGAAACACTGTCTGGTAGTATTCAGTCATAGTTCATATTTTGATTCGTTGCCGTTGAAACAGAGTCTATTCCTGGGGTCATTACCTGTGGAGTGAGTAGATATTTACTCGAACCACGAGGTTAGGTTGTGACACAAGGTCGGTTTAATGTGGGGAGCCCGAGCGCGTGCACCCGGGCAAGGAACAAAAATTCCCCGAGCCTCCGCAATCGTCGCTTGTGCTGGCCTCGGTGCGAGCACCGATCCCTCCCTCTAGTGCAATGGGAGGGCGCGGCCTCGGGTAGCTATTCCCAAACAGTTTAAATGCTCCCCGGCGGGGAATCGAACCCCGATCTCCCGCTAGTGATTTTCCAAGCGTAGCTTGGATGGGGCACAAGGCCGAAAGTAAGGGTAACCCAGTGAGGATTGAACTCACTACTCAGTCGTAATTGTTCTAGCGAGACAAGCTTGTTAACCATTACAACAGTGCCTCTCGAGGTGCCCTCCCTGTGGAGTGAGTATCCATGGATTGATATCAGCAATTGTCAGTGCTAAGAATGTTAACTAGAAGAAATTCTATCAAAATATTGAGGCATTATTTTAGACTAAGCTAGTGAAACATTAGATATGTGCATGCAAAGTCACAGAGTGTGAGAGATACAGTATCAGCTCTTTTTTATAATATAGATTATTATTATTATTTTATTTCCCTTGATTTCTGGTATGTACTTATTTCTTTCTTAAAGTTAGAAATGGCATCATGACATTTCCAACTGACCAATTAAAAAAAAAAATTAATTTTACATAGAGCCCTTCGTAAGGTGTGGGCTGTACCCGTGGGAACAATTTTTTATATTTTTTTAAGGCATGGACTTCCAGGAATTCCTTCAATTAGTCTACTGGAATCTTTTACAAACAATCCGAGGATTCCAACTACAACAGGTCGTCCTGGGTAAGACGTTAAAATACATCCGCGTCCTGGGTAAGACGTTAAACTACATCCGCGTCCTGGGTAAGATGTTAAGCTACGTCCAGCAGCTAGGCCACTGATCAGGAGGTTTTGAGGAGCGTGGAACCACCTCTTAATTACCAGAAATACAATTTTGAAGGAAATATATTACCAGAAACAGATTTTTGACAAAACAAAATATTACCAGCAATAAAAATTTTTGTTAGTATTAAATAACCACCCATTGAGGTTGATATGCCGTAAAACAAAATAAACCAAACCAATCTAAACCAAAGAATACATTCTATTCATACAAATCTTTCCAAAAAATGTTGTCGGCATTAAATAACCCTTTGAGGTTGATACGCCGTAAAACAAAATAAACCGAACCAAACCAACTATAACAGGGATAGTTGATTTTTGAGATTTCGATTTCAAGGTCTTTGTATTTTGATAGCTTTTTGAAGATCTTCAAAGATACTTTGCAGTCTGCAGGGACTGCCATATCAATAAGGAAGCACTTTTTTTTTGCTTGCGGTCTCTAATAACAATGTCGGGGCAGTTAATTATTATTATTATTATCATTATTGTTACTATTATTATTATTGTGGAGTGTGTAGCCATGGTCAAATGCAAAATAAGTAACAGAACTGTCCAATAAACAGAATTAACAAAGTTTGAAACAAGCAATAACAAGAAAATGAACAGGGCAAAAAATAATATAAAGCAAGCAAACAATATATGCAAGGCAAATTAACAGTAAGAAAATGTAGCGTTCTGACTTCAAGACAAGACAGATCGGGAATGAGTCAGATGAAACTGCAAACCGGCTTATTTTATTGGCTAGGAAATAATCCCGGCTTGCAGTTGTGTCCTTCTGCCTATAAAAGGGAAGGGGAAAGTATTTTGCAGTCATTCTTACACAGTTTGAAACCAACAATAACTGAGGAATGGATTAACGAAAAACATTTGGTAAAATGAAAAAATGGCGTTAATACTCTGAACAGATATTTGCGAAACGTACAGATCTCTATTTTGTTCTGATATATATATATATATATATATATATATATATATATTCATCCACAGACAGATTGTTTCGCTGTATCACAGCTCCTTAGTGTGGGTAGACGCCCGATTGCTTCCAGCCGGGATCGAAACCTGACTGGTTTGACATCAGTGAGATATCTTACCTCTAGGACATCGTCGCACGACAGAAAGGTAGGGAATTTTAATGTTTTTCACTATACGAAATATGCCAGCGGCTCGGAGAACTCGATTCAATTTACTTGAAGAGTAATGCTTAATAGCAGTAGGAGCCGCTGTTTTTTTTTTTTTTTTTTTAAAACCCTTTTCCTAGATAGCTCAACCGGATTTCCGGGAACACACACACACACACACACACACACACACACACACACACACACACACACACACACACACACACACACACACACATATATATATTCTCTTTATACGTTATTTTTATAGATACAATTAATCTAAGTAACGTATAAACAGAAAATATATTAAATAATTGTTGGACTTAATTCATTTCAAAACAACACACGCGCGTGCGCACACACACACACGTATATATGAATAAAAAGACAATAGGAAAAATATATTTAGAACAGGGATTAGGATGGATAGTAAGTATATATATATGAGATAACGATATATATTTTTATATATCAGGAACAATATTGGAGAAATTGCATGACAAAGTGGACAAAGTTTAGTCGTTACGCGTTTCGTCCGATAAAATCCTGAAGGACGAAATGCGTCACAAGTAAACTTTTTCAACTTTATTTTTAATAGATACCCATTTGAAATCATAAAAATATGCCGGATCAAAAAAATAAAATCTATTAACTCATATATATATACAGGGTGTGATGGGTAAATTTTCACCATTTTATATTTTTAATTCCGCGCATGCGCGTTGTTTGTTGTCTGACCCCCGAAATTTTTATTTATTCATTTACTCATTCCTTTCTCTCTACTTGTGCTCAGTGGGTGGTTGCTTTGAAACTCTTACATCTCGACTTTACAGTTGTTTGTCATAAAACAGCGGCCGTTCCAGGCACAGATAAACTGCAGTGTGAGATGGGTAAATTGTCGCCATTCTATATTTTTAATTCCGCGCATGCGCGTTGGTTGGTTTTGATTTTGTCGACTGCACAGTAGAGTAGGGTCAGTTGGACAACATTCCTTGTAACACCAAAGATAAACTGAAGGCAAGGAGCAGCAGTCACCAACTCAAGCAAGGCGACCGCCCAGAAGAGTTGCAGGAGATTCCGAAGTCGTCTGGAAGCTGTCTTTGAAGCTAATGGCGATCTTACTGAATAAATTCACTCTTTGGTATTTCAAGATATTGTTGTGCAATTTTGGTAAATATATCTGTTAAAATGAAATTTCAGTGTTCTTTGCATTTTTGCGTAATTTAGACGCACCCTATATATATATATATATATATATATATATATATATATATAGAGAGAGAGAGAGAGAGAGAGAGGAGTGAACGAGAAAGATATAGATAGAGAAATTGGCTTACAACGTGGGTTTTAAATCAATCGGCAAGTTTTGTGCTTTGTTGAAAAGAGCTCGGTAAACAATAGATGTGGAAAGTGGTGGGTATCTGTTTGTAATTAAGTCCAAGCTAATTACTTAGCTAATCCATCACCGCCCACATTAGACAATAACAGCTTTGCATTTGTAGAATCAACTGTCTATAAAATCCTAGGCGTGGTCAAATGCTACAAAGGAGGAATACTCATTATTTTCTATTCTCTATCCCCTGTTCCGATTTCTTCTTCTCTCCAACGATTTCTCTCTCTCTCTCTCTTTCTCTCTATTTCCTCCTCTCTCCAACGAATTCTCTCTCTCTTTCTGTTTATTTTCTCCTCTCTCCAACGATTTCTCTCTCTTTCTTTCTCTCTATTTTCTCCTCTCTCCAACGAATTCCCTCTCTCTTTTCTCTCTATTTTCTCCTCTCTCCAACGATTTCTCTCTCTCTCTTTCTCTCTATTTCTTCCTCTCTTCAACAATTTCTCTCTCTCTTTCTCTCTATTTCCTCCTCTCTCCAACGATTTCTCTCTCTCTCTTTCTCTCTATTTCCTCCTCTCTCCAACGATTCTCTCTCTTTCTCTCTATTTTCTCCTCTCTCCAACGATTTCTCTCTTTCTTTTCTCTATTTTCTCCGAATTCCCTCTCTCTCAACGAATTCCCTCTCTCTTTTCTCTCTCTTTTTTCTTCTTCTCCAACGATTTCTCTCTCTCTTTCTCTCCAACGATTTCTCTTCTCCTCCCTCTCCAACGATTTCTCTCTCTCTCTCTTTCTCTCTATTTTCTCCTCTCTCCAACGATTTCTCTCTTTCTTTCTGTCTATTTTCTCCTCTCTCCGATCATTTCTCTCTCTATTCCCCCTCTCTTCAACGATTTCTCTCCTTATATTTCCTCCTTTGTCCAACGATTTCTCTCTCTCTTTCTCTCTCTCTCTCTATTTCTTCCTGTCACTAACGATTTTTCTCTTTCTTTCTCTCTCTTTCTCTGTCTCAGACACACACAACATACAAAATTCTTACCTTTTATTGTAGCAGTTGTTAGTAAACTCGTTTCACAAGTCAGTACTAACGACAATGAGCTTGACTTTCATTCGCCGCTCCAGAGTTACATCTCTGATTTTGTATACAGACCCGGCCTTAGAATTTGCGAGGTTAAATTGGAAGCATCTTTTTGCGGGACCCCAGGTTTCAAGCCAAGCTCTTAGTGGAACGTGCTACGCATATATTTGCATATTTTTCTTTTTTTCAGAAGAATTTTTTTTTACATTTTTACATTTTTTACATTTTATATTTTTACGCTGCCCTAAGAATTAATCTACCGTCTAGAATTAAAAAAATAAAATCAAAATACAAACAGGAATCTCAGTCTGATTTTTTGAGATTATCTTCATGAGATTATCTTGAGATTATCTTGTATTTTTACACTGGAAACAGGACATTTATCCATTTTGAAAGGTATCAAAAATTATTCAATGTTGACTACAAAAGGACATTTTTGAAAGGTATCTAAAGTTGTGGGAAGCTATCAAACGTTTCTTCATTGATTTTCATTGCTTCCAATATGGCTGAATGTGGTTTCAACGCAGTTACACAGCTTCTTACTAAACGAAGAAACCGCCTGCAAATTACAAAACGAGGAGATCTACGATTCCTTCTAAGCAGCATGGAACCCAGAATAAGAGCCTTAGCCAGTAAGCACCAAAGTCGACCACTGCATTAAAAAGGTTGAAATAAACTATCAAATAAAAGTTCGTTTACCCAATACCTAATCTTGCCATGAAAACTGAATTCAGTATAATATTCGAAATTTAATTTGACAAGGGTGCGTTGAAAAAAAAAGTTTTGTCAAAAAGGGTGTACTGGTTGAAAAAAGGTTGGTAAACGCTGAAGTAGATTGAGCCCCTATTATTCGTTGGACCGAATTGAATTCATTGACTGATTGAGTAATTCTTTTTCTACAGCTTATCAACCCCTTGCAGGTTATTTAAAGCCAGAAATCATTTTTAGATTGTAAGAATTTTTTTTTATAGATAATAATGGTTTAGTGACACAAATCTTACTACTTGACCCATAGCTGGGTATTTGCGCGTAAGTGAATTTAATGAACCCAACTGGAATTGAAACTATTAACAACTCCGAGCCATTATACATTACACCACCCGCACATCCAAGCCTACAGCACCTGGTATTCCCAAGCGGTTGCCCATCTAGGTAGTGATCAGGCTCGACATTGCATAAATTCGGCGATGTGGCTGTAAGCCTCGAAATGGATACAGTAGGTCTAGTTCACTTCAAGACGGCTTTTAGCTTGGATTAGGTCATGTATTTGCATTTAAAAATGTTAAAAGATTTTAGGGTTGGGTTTTCTGTGTTTAATAACAGTGTCATATTGTGTCACTGTTTGGATTTGATTTGTTTAATTTTGTTTTACAGCATATCAACCTCAATGAATTTTTTAATGCCGACAAAATTTTTGTTGCTAGTAATATTTGTCAAAAATGTATTGCTGGTAATAATTTTTTTCTTCAAAATTCATTGCTGGTAATAATTTTTTTACAAAAATATATTGCTGGTGTTAAAACCTATTTTTACACTTTCATAGCATTTTGACCCAAGTTTGGGGTTAACTATTTGCCCATAGCTGGGACCCTAACAGGTGCTACCACCCCGGATCAAGGTGGACCTGGAAACACCAGCAATTAAGAGGTGGTACCACGCTCCTCAAAACCTCTTGATCAGAGGCCTTGGTGTTGGATGTAGTTTATCGTCTTATCCAGGGCACCTCATTTTTTTGTTAGCCCTCTGCAGAGGTGCAGTTGGCGTATACTGAAACCCCAGCCGATAGAGCGAGTCTCTCTTTGGGAAAATTGATTTTAATTGAAGACACACACACACACACACACACACACACACACACACACACACACCGGCACACACATTTATATATACATACATATAGACACACATATAGACACAAACATACACACCAAAAGATTTTACATGTTTACTGTTTTAGGACAGACTCCCGTCTCTGAATATATCACTGATCTCTATGGTCAAAACGCGATCTCAGTTGATCACTTTCCTTACCTAATCATGTCTATTCTCTGTTTTAATTGGCTTTTTTTCTTTTTACAATGATTTTCACCCTGTACAAGGCCCGAGAGCCACTAGAAGCAGACGGTTACAGAGTAAGAGGCACAGTTTATGGAGATATGCGGGGTAGATAACGGTTAACTCTAGACTTGAACAGGTTAAGATTGTTGTGATTGAGGAAGCTTCTTTTTGGGAGTCGGTTGCAAAAAGCAAGGAAGAAGCTGCTCGAGTGGAACTTGAACCTGAATAAGTGAATACGAAGTCGTTTGCTACAATGTCTGTGACATAGCGGGTCTTAGACGTGGAAGTTAGAACTGGTGGAACTCAGGAATGTAGTTCGACCAAACACTTTCCATAGAAAGAGCGATAGATCAGTGAGAGGCTTACGACGTTCTGTCTATGAGAAAGGAACTGTAAAATGAAGACTGTGCAGCGCCTGTGGCGATGATCTCATCTTTATTTCAGCACAATCTACATCTCTGTCTATATCTCTGAGATGAGGTATTATGATTACTTACATTATTCGAACAGTTATCCTCATCTTCATTGCCACATTCACAACGTTTCGGTCGTTGTACGTTCCGGCCTTCTTCACTTGATTGAAATTTCGAACCGAACCCTTTATTTCGTTCACTTCAAGGACACATAGCCCAGTGGATAAAGACGTTAGTTAGATCCAATGACTAGACCCAAAGTGTTGTGAGTTCAAAACCAGACAACAGCTGTGGTAAACCAAACTTGGAGAGTTGAGTTCAAGGGAAATAACTGAGGCATCCAGAAGAGCCATGGCACGTGGAACTAGAAAAATCTAACCCGGTGAACGAAATAAAGGGTTCGGTTCGAAATTCCAATCACCTGAAGAAGGCCGGAGCTTACAACGGCAGAAACGTTGTGAATATGGCAATGAAGATGAGGATAACAGTTCAAATAATGAAAATAATGTAAGCAGTCTACATTTGTTGTTGATTTTTTATTCATATTTCTATCATTTTATTTTTCTTTCTTTTCATCTCAACTCTCTTTATTTAATAAGACATGTTTACTGGTAAAATAAATCTGCTCACAAACATACATACACACGATTATAGCTTCTATTCGTGAATATCTATACTGATGATACAACGGTATATGGCGGCATCTCCAAAACTTTTAATGACCAGAGATTGGCAGCTGATCTCTCATCTGACCGAGCTCTAACAGTTCCAGTTGGTGAAAAACTTTCTCGTTATATTCAATGCCTCGAAAACCAAGCTAATGTTCTTCCCTCATTAAATCCAAAACTAACTTCAATTACGATAAACGGATGTTTCCTCAGGGAGGACCATGCCTTGTGCACGTATTGGGACTTAAACTTAAACTCAATCCAGATCTCCAGAACCAACTCCGATTACGATGAACGGATGTTCCTTCAGGGAGGTCCCATGCCTTGTGCATGTATTGGGACTTAAACTCAATCCAGATCTCAAGTGGAACTCTTATATACGATTCATCGCCAAAGATTCTGGACAAATGGTCGGTTCCCTGTAGTACTCATTGTCCCATCGACCAAAAAGGGAGTGATTTTAGCATATATGGGCAGGAGTTGCCAAACCTTCATTTTTCAGTCTCGTAATAGCCCAAAAGTGTCCCCGCGTCCTTGTGTATGACATTATTTTTCACCCTACAAGCACTTTCTCACAGATGAGATGTCGGAATCCAATAGCTGGATAGAAGTTGCTCGACTGGGACTGCATTTTCACCATAGAGACCAATGGCCTACTCATAGATGGAAGTCTGTTCCCAAAAAAGAAATTGTCTATCACTGTTTCCATGAAAAGTTTTTAGACGTACCACATTCCTTAGTTCCTCCCCAGATCTAACCATCACAGCTAAAATCCGGCATGCTAAACACATTGTAACGAACCAGCCTCATTATCTTCGTATTCCATTGGTGAGATGTAATTTCTACTCGAGCAGATTCTTCCCACGAACCGCTGCTTCGTGGAACCAACTCCCAAGAGGATACTCCCCCGATCACTACAATCTTAAACTATTCAAATCTAGGGTTAATCGTTATCCTTTCCATATATCTGCATAAACTGTATCTCTTATTTTGTAGACCTCTGCCTCGAGTGGCCCTTGGGCCTTGCACAGGGTGAATATAATTGTAAAAAAATCAGATTATCGGTCATTTTTCCTCTCTATATTATATTAATTTGGTAAAAATCGCATACTATGATCTAGATTTTGCATTTAGTTTATTCATCCTGTCTTTAAAAGCATAATCTCGCACAGTTTCGACTAGACAGTGTCTTAAATGTCCTCTGTGAATGTCCAAGCATGAAAACATTCTTTGATGACTGACTGTCTTTTCAGAAAATGGTAACGAACAACTGAATCGTCTTGACTGCCTAACTTGTTCCACAACTAAGAACTTGCTTTTGAAGTGTTGCAGACGAGTTTAGTGTCTGGTTTAATGTAAAAAAAAAAAAAAAAAAAATTTAAAAAAAGCAAAAAACAAAATCTACCAGAGCTAGATTGTAAGGAAGCTCGATTCGCAAACTGTCTGGCTAGTACAGTGAGTTCGATCCTCGTCGAAAACCAATTTTTCCCAAGCTTTGTGCCATACAAATCCAAGTGCGCCTAGCTTAGTACAACAGCAAATGCAGCTCGCATACGAGGTTCGATCTTCACTGGGTGTCCATTTTCAGTGGCAGCGTACAAGACAAACGCCAGTGCACCTACTGTAATGCAATAACAAATGCAGCATGCAGGCATACACACACACACACACACACACTTACACAATCACACACACGCACATTCGGCGTCTCTTTTTCGAAGGCCTCATTCTAAACAAACATAAAGTCGCCTGCAGTA